ACTATATCAGATAACTATTTGATCAAGAAGGTTGCAAGTTAATTATATGGAGAAAACTCGAACTACTAAGAGCCAGATTGCAGAAAGATCATAAATCTAAATTGTTTGAGGAAATTGAAGCAAAGCTACTTCACAATAATAAAAATAGAACAGTTAGAGCTAAATTTCAAATGCAAGGTATAAACAGTATGTCAATGAAAGTGCAGTTAGAGTGGTTATCTAAGATAAAAAGAAACATGAATGGGTGCTTGTTAATAAGGAAAATGATGAGACAATAGTTAGTAAAATTAGCAAGAAGCAAAAGTCCAAGGTTTTAATTGATTATTGGGTTAATTAGAATAGATCAGAAAATGCTCTAACCCTAGTCAAATATAGAAGTCATAAGCTAAACTGCCAAGTAGTAGTAACGTTTGTTAGCAGTAGGTAAAGAAAAAGAGTGTACTAGGGGTTCTACCTCATAGTAATCAAGACAAAACTATGTTGAAACCACTGGTGTTAGAAGAAGTGGTAGAATACAAAGTAAACACAAAGGAAATAGTAGTAAGTAGCACAGAAGAAGAAGTTGCAAGTATAGTAATACCTAAAATCAGTGTTGTTACTTGGCCACTTGGCCGGCCATTGGCTGTGACCAATAGCTGCAACCAATAGCCAAAAAGGGCAAGAAAATTATTTGACTAAAATGGCCAAATATTTTGTATAGCAAGACTAGGAATATAATTGGTTAATTTTGTAAAAATTAGAAACTTTGATTAAAGTTTGGCTATTGGCCAGTTGGCTGTTGGCCAATTGGCTAGCCAAAGGCCAAAAAAATTGTTTGGCCGCTAAAAATTGCCAATACTGCCTAAAATGCATAAGGAAAGCTTAATCAAACAACAAGGCTTTGATGTAGTACTAGAGAGCAAATTGATTAAACAACTAGAAACAGACCTTAAAGTAGGATCTGAAGAATACCTTTTTTATTCAGATGGTTCAGTAATTAAGGGGTTAACAGAATGCAAAATGAGTGCAGGATAGTTGCAAGTAAGCTATGATAAGGAGGATATACTAGTAGAAGGGTATATTAGAATAAGGTATTAGCCATTATCAACAAAAGAAGAGCTGGTAGTAGTGTAGATAGCACTACTAACAGTAGGTAGTAATAGTAAGGTAGAAATTAGACTAGATAGTGTAGCTGCAATTGCAAGCCTAACAGACAATTTATTGCTCAAAATGAGCAAAGCATGGGAGTAAAGGCCAAACGCAAGTCTGGTAACGAAAATAAGAGATTTGAGCAAGTTCAAAGGTATAAACCTCAAAATAATTAAGGTGAAGGCCCATAGTAATATAAGATGGAATGAAAAGGCGAACCAGCTTGCAAAACAAGAAGCTGAAGCAAGCCAGATAGGACTTGAGAAGAATTGTCATTTCAAGTATGCTCTATACTTGAATGGAATATATACAGAAATACCCAAATAGTGGCAGAGTGGTGATGGTTAAATGCAGTGAAAACCAAAGAACCTGAAGTAGTGTCTAAATGAAGTTGGAAACAGTTTTGGCACCACAACAAGAAGCTTACGAGAATTAAGTATAAAACATATAAGATGAACAGAAGAATCATATTTAGATTGAAGTATATAAGCCAAAATATTCCAGTACTGTTGAACTTATGGAGAAGAAAGCCAGAAATATACATGGATAACAGGTATATCTCATGTGGAAAAGAAGAAGAAACACCATCCCACCTAGCCAGGTGCAAGAAATTAGAGGGTACTAGAATAATATTAAAGATGTTGCATTACTGTTGGTGTGAAAAAGCCTCAAACTTCGCATTAGGAAAATTATCTCAGTAGACAAGTAGAAGAAGGTTATTGTTAGTAAAAGTCATACAGTACATAGTTCGAGAAGAGAGACTATGTAGTTGGTCTAGTGCATGAAAAAGTACTGGCTGTATTAGATAACATGGGTCTTACAAGAAAAACATGTAACCAAATAATTCATGACTACATCCAAGTTGTGAAAGTGAGTTTTCAAGATAAAATATAGC